GAGGACAGCAACCTGTGCTCTGGTGTAGTTGGCTAGGGAGTGCAGTATTTATGGCTGTGAGATAGGCTTTTGTCTTTTTCTGTAGATGGGTGATTAGTGTGTCTTGTTGTGGGTGTATTGTTGTGCTAAGGAGAAGAGATTATCTGTTCCTGTGGTTGATGGGTGTCATTAGCTGGTCTTTTGTGTGTAGTGATCCCCTGTCCTTGTGGATGGGTAGAGTTTGTTCACCTTTTGCATGTTGTATTTTTGAGAGCCAACTGCACCAGAGCACAGGTTGCTGTCCTCTGAAGATGCCGTCCACAGAGACTGGTGAAACGTTAGGAAGAACAACCTTCAGAACACGGCCAAAGAGCCCAAAAAACCCAGAACAACTCAAAATGATGATTGGCCATTAGAGGGAATAAAAGAGAAAAGCAGAATGGTGAAAGGTAAAGCAAAAGAATACTGGACTGGAAGATCAAATCCAAAGTAAGAGTAGTATATGCAGCAACTTTTAGTTGCAGGATCCACTTGTTCGTATCATAACTATTGTATGAAGAGCCTCCAGTAAAATGTTACCAGTCTTAGCAAGTTGCACAGAGAGAAATATAGTCAAAGTAATTCAAGTGCAAGATATCAATAATGTTTAAAATCTTTACCTAATTGAAATGGAGTTTTTTTTATTGATAGGAGCTAAGACTGATACTTTCTCTCAGTTCCACTACCCTTACCTGTGCACTTGGTGGGGACACAGGAGAGGGCCTTCTCTGTTGCTGCTCCCATACTTTGGAACTCCCTCCTACAGGAGGCCAGTCTGGCCCCATCTTTGCTGTTCTTTCCCAAGCAGGCAAAGACCTTTCTCTTTAGGCTAGCTTCCCCTCAGTGACTGGCTGCCTGAGTGAGGTTTTTTAATGGACACTGTGCTTTATTGCTTTGACTGTGTTTTTGGTATTACTTTTGCTTACATTTTCTTAAAGTGGTATTTGTTTGATCTTTTTTAGTACTTGTCTACTTACGGTTTTAGCTTCAGATATTGTCTTGTAATGATATAAACCACTTTGGGTCCTTTTTAAGGAGAAAGGCAGGGTAAAAATATTACAGATAGATATATAAATAAATAAATGTTGAAATGTTTATATTTAGCAGACACTTTTTAAAAATCTGGCTAAAGTAAATTAAATATGTATTATCTTACACAATGATTACTTTTGAAAGATCATAGCCATTATCCTAGCAGAAATAATTTTGTAGTAGTTGCTTCATCTGCAGATCCAGGCCACATTAAATATAATTAAAGTGATGTATAAACACATTTCCCTCCATTATTTTCCATTACGGCTCTGGAATTAGCTAGGAGCTAAAATTCAAATTGAACCATAAATCAAATGAACAGATGCCAGTGGGCAGTTCTTCAAATGTTGGTTTCCTGCTAGCTGAAGTAACAACTATATATGGGCTCCTGCATATTTACAAAGACTCTGTTGCATTCCTCACAAAATAAAAAGAACAGCCTTCGACAGGTTGGATATCAGCATAATTATTTGCTACCTGTTTATTCCACTCTACCTTCAAGGAGCTTAGAGACTGATATATGCTTTCCAGACTTTACACATGGAGAGTTTTTTTTTAAATTAAATGGGAGAAGGAAATAAATATGTACAGTATGGGAGGATATGACTTTTTGAGAGGCTTACTGATTTCATACACTGAAAGATGTTTTTGAGTTTGTGAGGCATAAAATGAACCCTTTTTTGTTCCTATGCGGCATACATTATTTTGCTTGAAGCACGCTATTGTCTCATTCATTAGAAAATATGGACGAATAAGACAGCTAACGACAATGAAGGAGCTGTTTTATGCTTCAGCAGTTTATTAATTAGTTAAATAAACATGTACCATCAAGTTGATTCTGACTTACGGCAACCTTTGTCAGGGTTTCCTAGTTATCAATAAATCAGAACTAGTTTACAAGTATTTCTTGGCTCTTATTTTGGGAGGCACATTGGAGAATGGAATTTCCAGTCTTTGGCAAGAAGTGATTAATTAGAAATTTGCCTATAAAGTTCTTAGTAATCTGCAAATCCTAAAAGGCCAATGAATTTTCTATTCATTCATTCATTCATTCATTCATTCATTCATTCATTTATTCATTCATATCTCACTTCTTTTAGTATCAAGGCAGTACTCTGGGTGGTTACAACACAGAGAGAACAGAAATGAAGATAAAGACATGAAAAACAACAAAAATAACTATAAAAGCAGATAGCACTGAATAATCATATAAACCGAGAGAAGACAGAGGAAGTGAGTCTATTAGTATCAAGGCAGTACTCTGGGTGGTTACAGCACATATAATAGAGAACAGAAATGAAGATAAAGACATGAAAAACAACAAAAATAACTATAAAAGCAGATAGCACTGAATAATCATATAAACCCAGAGAAGACAGAGGAAGTGAGGGGGAAAGTGGTCAGCTAGGGTTGGTGTGGAAAGACTCAATGAAAAGCAGTGTCTTTAATTGCTTCCTAAGAGGGGAAAGTGGTCAGCTAGGGTTGGTGTGGAAAGACTCAATGAAAAGCAGTGTCTTTAATTGCTTCCTAAATGTCAACAGGGAGGGGGCTAGATGGAGCTCCTCTGGAAGCTGGTTCCATAAAATTGGAGCCACCACAAAGAAGGCCCTACCTCTTGTAGAGGATTTATGGGCCTCCCTCAGGGTGGCCCCCAGAGAAGCTTCAACTGAGATGATCTTATGGGTTGGGTGGATGACATTAAGGAAAGACGCTCTGACAAGTAAATGGAACAAGGATCAGGCTATAACCCCAACAGAATAAAAATATGGTGTTGGTTAAAGGGAAGATAAGGAAAATCTTGATTGCAACAAATTTGAAAGAAAACATATAGAATACCATGTATCAGTCATATATAATACTAAATATTATTTATGATATATTTCAAGACAAATCTTGGAGGTGATGAAGATCGTATGCATATTATATTAATATATGTTGGAGCTGTGATAAAATTAAAATTATATGAAATATATTATGGTATAATATTGCAAATGAACCAGTGGCAGTGTGAGAAAGTTGTCTGGAAGGATGCATGAATTTACTTGATGTCAAGCTGATCAAACATTCATTAATGTAAGCTACAATATCTGAGTGTGAGAATCTCACAAACTGAGAGTGAGAATCAAAAAATTCAGTTCTGAGGAGATTTAAGGGAGAGCTCATCATGTGACACAGCACTAATTTAAAACCAAAAAGAACCTTTAAAAAATTATTTTGTACTGCAGGCCCCTGCAGGCTGAGACTGGCAATCCATTGAAGACTGTATTTATTGTGACAGGGGCATTCACATATGCTAAAATGATGCAAAATAAAATTGATTCCAAAACTGTGTTAAAATAAAGAACCTTCATGAAGCTATTTTTTTAAAAAAAACTCGATTGACAGCCAAACAAATATGGTGTCAGTAGAACATCATGCAGCTGTGATTTTTAAAATTGATTTTAAACATGCAAATCCTAATTCAACCTCGGTTTTATTGCTGGTGTGACCATGCCCACAGACATTTTCCAGTTTGGGAATCTAAGACAACCACCTGCTCTGGCTTGGAACCAGGGACTTATTGACATCTGACCTTGGCATTTCTTTGCCTTCACTCCATCATATAAACACATTCAGGGGTGGAGAGGAACTAGTTGTCCAGCAGTGCACTGGAGCTGGTTAAGGTTTTTAGTAGTGGAAGGGATGATAGGACAGCATGTGGTGTAATTTGGGGCATGAACTTTGGCTTGTGAGATGGCCAGCTATGTGCGTATCTTCCAAAAATTGCAGCTCTCTCCATAACATTGTGGCCCTTCTTATATCTTGGGAGTCCCTGCGTACCACTGTGTTTTCTCTCCCATTTCTCCTCTTTTCCATCTCTCCTTGCCATTAGGGCTGCAACATTTTATTTTGCAAAGGAGAACAACACAACAGAACTAATGAAAGCATTGAAACAGCAGAAAGAAAGGGTTCTAAAAGAGTCAGTTTAAACACATATTGCCACTGTAGAAGATTCATCATGATCCAAAGCAATCTGGTTGCAGATTTCTGTAGTTTTAATCCCACACTAGGTACTGCACAATACTGCTCAGCATAATTATTTGCTTATATTTATTTTTTGCATTTATACCCCACACTTCTTCCCAGATGCTCAAGGCAGTGTACATGGCGCCCCTTCTCCCCACTTTATCTTCAGGACATCTGTGAGATGGACTGAGTGGGAATTTGAAGGCAGGTCTCCCATGTTCTTGTCTAACCACCACACCACACCACCTCATCTGGTGATACATCTCTGTGAAACATGTTGGTGAAATGTTAAGAAGTGACATGAATGCATTTTTTCCTGTTTTGTTTTTGCAGTGAACTTTGACCATTTCCAGATTCTCCGCGCAATTGGGAAGGGAAGTTTCGGGAAGGTAAGGGAAGAGAGGGCGATTTGGGATGGAGTGTGGTCTGTTATGAAATGTATAAAGGCATAATTTTGATTTGGAAGAATCCAGGTCTCCCCACCCTCACCCCGAAATTATCTAGAAATGGAGCTTATATCTATGTAATTATCACTTCCCTTGCTGTTTCTGAACTTTTGGATGTTTTTGTCTTTTAAAGGGTTTTGTTTTTGTTTTTGTTTTTTTCAGAAGATGGCTCGTTAATTTATCTTTAGCTGGTTATTTTAGTTTTAATTTTGAAAAACCCATGCCTTTGCTTAGGACCCAAGTAATATCTCTGAAACCAAAATACCATATTTCTGTACAAATCCAAAAATAGTCTGAAAGATCACAGTGAAAGCGCCAGGAGTCCTGGAATCAGCTGAGTCGCAACATGCAATTTGTTCCATGACTCACTGAATGGATTATGGCTAATATGTACAAGTTGCTATTTCCATTATGGTCTGCTGATCTGTACAACCTTTTAATTTAGTGACCAATAAAGAAGCTACTGAAATACAGCCTATGTGCCTGAGCATGTGTCACGATGCACACCAAACTTTTAATTGCAGATATTAATAGTATATCACGCTGAACTAACTTATGCAATAAAAATAACAAATTTGAAATGTTTTTTGTGCTGAATCTCAGTATAAATATAAAAAGCAAACACTCAAGGCACTCATTAATCTATGAAGAATAAGGAAGAAAGAAGAAGAATAAACCTGAAGCCATAGAACTATGTAGTGGAGGAGAGGTTAAAAGACATGTCCATCACAAGATTTTTAAAAAACCTGATGCAGTGAAAGAGTTATGTAAACTAGATTTTACGTTGACTTGCTCTAAACCTGGAAAATGTAACAGATTCTTTGCCTGTGACTGAATGTGTGAAATACTCTAGACTGCTGTGTTTGCTTTGTAGTTATAGTTATGTTTTGAATCAATCATCTACTTGCAGTATAAGGCTGGCAAATCTCAGAGCACCAACTTAGGCGTCAAAGAATTGCTGTGCTTCACCAGTTCTCCAGGCAGGAGGAGAAGTATCTGGGTGAGCCATGTTAAAGGAGAATAGAGTTTGATTTGTCCATAAGAGGTGACTTTAAAGCCTGGACACCATCTCTGTGCATTAACAGCTAACACCAGAGTTCACCAGCTCAACACAAAGATGTTTGCATTGGTTTTGGGCAATTGTCCCTCCCAACCCTTGCCTGTCCTGCCTCTGTATTACAACAAATACTGTTATGTCATTATAGGTTCCTTCTCTTGTGTCACAATGAAGACCTGTCCCAAGTCTCAATTTATCACCCTTGAAGTCTCAGGAAATGGATTTCAACTCACCTGGCAATCTTTTGCATATGTTTGCTTCATAACCTTCACAACCTGAGACAGTATTGCTGTAAATCCTAGCCATGGTGGTGTATAAGCAGGAAAATATTATAGTGCTAATGTCCTGCCTGTTGACTTACTACAGACCTATCACTTGAACATTCAGTGAAATTGTATTTTCTGAGAGAGACCTTTTATCTAGTCCAACACAGCTTTTCTTATGTTCTTTTTATCTATTCAGTCTGACAAGGAACATATAAGAGTTTATTTTTTGGGCCCAAAGAAGGTTGTTGAGTTGCAACAGGAAGGAATATACAACCTGATTTGGAATGAAAACGAAGGGAGACTCAATGCTTCATCACAGAGGCAATGTATCTTTTAGCTGAGGAACATGTGCTGCATTATGGGGTGGGGTTGCTTCCTTCCTTCACAGTGTCATAATTCAAGAGTAAGTAAATATATTTATGGTTGTGTGAGATTCCATTTCTTTCTATTGGCAATGGAAAAGAAATTATTTCCTTTGTAATTCAGTTTTATACATTTCTGGTGTGCTTATGCATATTTCAGGGGGAGGAGCAGTGAAAGAACTGCACTATTGGCTCAGCCTATGTAATTCTGGTATTTATATACATAACATTAACAAATGGGAACTTGCTCCTCCAACAGTGCAAGGTAGGGCAGGCTGACAGATACCTTTTCTTGTACATTTCAGAGGTGGATTTACCATAATGCACATTGTTAGTGACTCTAGTGACAAGTTGATCAAGAGAAGGGGGCAAAATGCTCACTAGGAATTGGACGGCAGTACCATCTGCAGTTTATCTCTGTGTGAAAGAAAACGTCGAGGCTAAGATTAGTGTCACGTTCCCGGGGGTTACAATAGTCAGAGTCAGAGAAGCCAGTCCAGGGTCAGAGTTAACAAGAATGCAAAGCCACAGTCCAGAAACCAACTCACAGCGTGAAGTCCAGTGTCAAAGTCCAGGGTCCGATACACAGTGTAACTCAGGGTCAGAGTCCAGGGTTCAGAGTCCAATACCAACGTAGTCCAGAGCCGAAGTCTAATACCAACACAGTCCAGGGTGAAAGTCCAGAATCCAGAGACAGGAACACGATACCAGAAGTGTGGATGCCAGCCAAGGTTTGATTCTTTGCTTCCACGAATTTTCTGGCTTCACTGGAAGCTGTTTTATAATGAAACAGCTCCTTGTGCTGCTGGAAGGCTTTCTATTCTGCTAACACTCAGGACTAGGTGAGCGTAGGTCTCTACGGAAAGCCTTTGAGCGATCCTCTGCTCTTCTTGTCCTGAGTCTTTCCCAGAGCCTGCCCCGAAGCCTGTCTGCTGTGGAGGGAGAATTTAGGAGCGGTTCAGGTGTTTCTAATCTCTCCACATTCTCTTTAGCCACAGTTAACCCTTCCGGGTCCAGGTCTTTGGAGGCACCCATGACAATTAGCTCACTACTTGGTGCTCAAAGGCTAAGATTAGCTCACTACTTGGTGCTCAGTTAATTAGGAAAATGGTTTCAGCTGAGTGGGGGAAGAAGTTACTCTCTTCTTCGTGAAAGTTCAGGGAAACTTGACACCTGATTGGCAAATCATCTTGAAAAAGTCAGGAAATTGGAATTTGAGGTATAACTCTCACAGCTCTCCATCATCGTTGATTGAGGCCTGATTGGCAAATCGTCTGGAAAAGTCAGGAAATCGGAATTTGAGGTATAAAAATGAAGACAGATATAATTTTGTTTAGCCTAGTTATTTCTTAGAGAATGCTATGCTCATCTGTTGCCTGCTACAAGATTTGAATTTTGTACATGCTCTGAAGCTACTCTGCAGCTATGCCAGGATAAGAGCATAATTAGTTAGCTTTCTTATCTTCTTGTCAGATTGCTCTGTAATTACTCTTGCCTCATCTTTTTAATTGCTTATTTTGCTCCACAAGCACTGGAATTCCTACTTTGCACAGTTGCCATAAGAATCTAAGTACTTATTGGTCTTCCAGCTTGATTTTACAATGAGACAGCAGCAGGAGGATGGGGCTCCATCCCCTGGGCTGAATTCTGACCTGTTTGGGACCCCCCCAGGGGGTTAAAACCACTTCGAAGAGGTGGTGAAATGGGGGAGAAGCCTGTTGATCACAGAGGAATGGCGGTTACCCACCTTTGATCCAAGAAACTCCCCAGTCGACCAGTGGGTGGAAACATGCAGCTGAACTAGCTTGCTTGCAAGATGTCGGCAGCCGGGTATGAAGAAGCGATAAATCAGCCTAATTAACATTGTGCTCCAAATGGGTGAGAAACATCTTTAAAAACTGTATCTATTTAGTATCCCTGGATAAGACAATTCCTACGGCTAAAATAGCATCTCATAGCTCTCCATCATCGTTGATTGAGCTGCGGAGAAGCTGGGGAGAGGAGGAGATGGAAGGAGACACAAGGAAAATAAACTGGACATTAATTAGACCCTTAATTATACTTAAAGGAAGGAAGTTCAGTATTAATTATTTATTTATTTA